GATGAATTAGTGGAAGAACCCGTTGCTAACGGGACGAAAAGGGCTTTGCCCACGCAAGAGTGAAGAGCAGTTGGCACCACATCCAAGCAAGCCCATAAAGCCTAAGAAGGCGAAGCCCTTTTCACAGCTCCAGCTAAGGCTTCCACGTCCAAAAGCGTAGGCCCGTCGGTGCAGCAAGTGTTGGGCCCAAATAATACAAAAATCCAAATTCTATCAGTGCCTCCTCTTTTGACCAAGCAGTAGGAGAACATTGACCCAAATTCAAAGGAGTACTCGATTCGCCATCATTATTAGAAGAAGCAAAAGGAACGATCACCAAATCCAAATAAGAACAAGAACAAGGGAATCAATCTACGGGCTATCAAGAAACCGCTACAACTCAATGCTACAGCTAAAATGAATTCCCCAGTCAGAGCCAAAGACAGTGGATTCCCGATCACCATCAAAGCATTGAGGAGTTCTTTTCTCATACCCAGCAAAAGAAGATTGAATTTCAGAATATTCGAAGCAGCAAGCTGGGAGATGTGGTCATGGGTGATACGGGAACTAGGCTGCAAGCAATCCAAGTCCCGGGAAGCCTTATCGGTCCTAAGGAGAAGGATGCGCAGCCAATGGATAACCTTTGATGCTGATGCAGCTGGCCTTTTCTTTTTTGTTCTTTCCTCTTATGTTATCTATGTCTATTACAATTAACATTAAAATTCTGGCTTGGAATGTTTGTGGTGCAAGTAGTAGAGACTTTCGCAGGGCCATTAAGCTGCTGGTCTCGCAATATAATCCCCAGTTTTTGTTTTTGTTTGAATCACAGACCAGTGGAGACAGAGCGAACATTGTCTGCAGTAGCTTGGGATTTGGAGAAGTTATAAGAGTGGATGCTGAGGGACAGAAAGGGGGCATTTGGATGGCCTGCAAATCTGATGAGTTTAAGGTTTAGATTATTGAGGCTAGCCAATAGCACATCATTGTTAAAGTTGCAACCGCAAGATGAGGGGAGTGGCTTTTAACTGGGGTCTATGGAAGTCCACAATACAGCTTCCGTGGACAACTTTGGGAGAGACTAATCGACACCAGGAGATTTCAATGCTTACCGCTTACCATAAGAGAAGTCAGAATCAATTTCCCCCGCTTCCTTAAGAAGATGTCAGTCGTTTTGCTACTGGATTGATCTTGCTAGACTCCTTGACCTGGGATTCTCGGGTGCTCGGTTTACCTGTTTTGGGTAGACTCAAACTGTAGCTTCAAAGCTAGCAGGATTGATAGGTCACTCTGTAATGCGGGGTGGAACTTGGATTTCCCCAATACACAGGTTAAGCATCTCCCGAAGCTACACTATGATCATATTCCCATATTGACAATAAGCGGGAGCAATAACATCAGATCAGGCGGAGATAAGCCTTTTCATTTTGAAGCAGCTTGGTTGTTCCACAACCAATTTCATGACTTCTTTGCAGGAGCCTGGAAAGAGGAAGTAGAGTTGCCGCAAGCTCTTGAAGCCATAACTGCTCAACTGCAAAATTGGAATAGAATGACGTTTGGCATCATCAATCATTGGAAGAAAAGGCTATTAGCCAGGCTCCAAGGGGTCTAGAAAAAGATAACCAGAGACTTTAATCCGGGCCTACTCAAATTACAGGCTCGACTTGAAGCGAATTTGGATGCCCTCTTGGCCCAGGAGGAAATGATTTGGTACCAAAGGTCAAACGAGAAATGGGTGACATTAGGAGAGCAGAATACCTCTTATTTTCATCAACAAGCTACCCGACGTCGTCGTAGGAATAAAATCCAGATGTTAATTGACAGTAACGGCAACTGGATTGATGATCCAAATCAACTAGAGCAGCTTGTTGCCAACTTCTACATCAACCTCTATACCCAGGATGATTCGCCTTATTTGAATCAGATGCCAAGGGTTGTTTTCCTCGAATAAACCAGGGAGATCTTCTTCAACTCCTTCACCCCTTCAATATCTATGACATTCATAAATCTATTTTCGGAATGAAACATTTTTCTGCTCCTGGTCTGGATGGTTTTCAAGCTGTCTTTTACCAAAAGCTCTGGAAATTTGTGGGAAGAAGTACTGTTAATCTGGCTACTTTTTTTTTTTTTTTAAACAGGTTCCCTACCTCATGGGATGTTGGAGTCCACCATTTTCCTTATTCCAAAAACTGACATCCCGGAGACACCTGCTCAGCTGAGACCGATTTGCTTGAACAATGTCAGCCTAAAATCGATCACCAAGGCGATGGCAAACCGGCTCAAGCCGCTAATGCTCAAGCATGTAGCTCCTACCCAGAGTGGCTTCATACTCTTCCCTTTCTAATGCCCAAGAAGCAGAATACGGATAATATCCTTGTCCTGCAAGAGGTTCTTCATACTCTACGTAATAAGAAAGGGAAGAAAGGAGGGGTGGTTTTTAAAATTGATCTTAAAAAGGCTTATGACAGGTTAAGGTGGGACTTCATCAGGGAAACATTGTTTGAAGTTGGTCTTCCCAGTACCTGGGTCAGCAGAATTATGTTCTGAGTTGAAGAGAACAGGATGAGGATAAGTTGGAACGGGAAACTTCTTGATGTGATATTCCCAACTCGTGGATTTTGTCAAGGTGATCCCCTGTCTCCATACTTGTTTGTCCTTTGTAAGGAGAGACTGTCTCACAGAATTGAGTTGGCGATAGCCAATAAGCAGCGGAAGGCGCTCTCTCTTACCCCTAACATTCCAAAAATTTCTCACCTCTTTTTTTGCAGACGATTTAATCTTATTTGCAGAGGCAGAGAGAAGGCATATTGACATTGTTCGACGATGTTTAGATGAATTATGTGCCAGCTCAGGAGATAAAGTCAACCTGAACAAGTCGACCATGTTCGTGTCCTCGAATGTTCCCAGAGACAAGGTCCAGAGACTCAGCAGTAGAGCCAACATCCCACTAACAGCTGATTTTGGCAGGTACCTGGGCTTAAACGCCATCCACGGAAAAGTTACCAAAGGAAGATACAAGGAGTTGAGAATTCGCATTCAAAAGAAACTTGCTTCTTGGAAAACTAGACACCTATCTCTTGCTGCCAGGATGACCATGGTGAGATCGGTCTCTTCCTCTATGGCAGTTTACCCCATGTTTGTAGAATCTCTTCTCTGTTCTGTTTGCAAGGACTTGGAAAAAATCAATCGGCAATTCATATGGGGCGAAGAAGAGGGAAAAAAAAGTTCCACCCCGTCGGTTGGAACCAATTGACGATGCCCAGAAGTCAAGGTGGAGCCGGAATTCGCCCTACTGAAATGACCAACCAGGCTATGCTTAAAAAGGGTGTGTGGAAATTGATCACTGGGGAGGACTCGTTGTAGGCAAGAATTCTGCGGGACAAGTACGGGCGCAATAGGGAGGGACTTAAAATTCTGAGAAAATCAAAGGGAAGTTTGCTCGCCTGGAGGAGTTTTGTCTCTCCTAATAAGCTCCGTTTCAGCTCGTTTGACCTCCGATTGACCTGAAACTTGCGTCTAAGCCTTCATTTACTTTAGGTCCTGAAATATGACAAAGAAACACAACCTAGCGTAAAATATGCCAAATTATGAGAAAGATCAAGCTCAACAATCAAAAAATGAGAGGTAAAACATGTGTAATTATGTAGTCATCAGTAGTCAACGGTCAACACATTCACCGTTGACATGTCCTAATTTTTTTATTATTTACAAAATTTATTATAATAAAAAATTAATTTACAGTAATTTAAAAAAGCAAATGAACCTAATCCCCCGAATCTTAAACCCGCCATGCACTGACCTCCTACAACCCATCCTCATTGTCGCCGACCTTGACATATCAACCGTCGATCGTCTGTCTGCTCCTTTATTTTTCGGCATCCAAAACAGGTCATGTCACCGGTCAACTGTTGTCCGTCAGAAAATAACGAACCTCGTTAATGGAGACTAAACATAAGGACACCAGCGATATATCGAGAATATAGGAGTACAAGTGACAGAAATCTTAAACGATAATTTCATGGTATTAACCTTTTTTATAATGCAAATTATTGAGTTTTATAATTGGTATTTGTTAACAGGTTTTTTACAAATCTGAAGCCCTATATGTAATTAATTATTAATAAATTGTGTGAACCATGACATATGAATTAGATTTGACTTAGACCAATAGCATTGTTTGAAATGACTTGGCAATGTAGAAATGACTTAGCCATGGGATCTACATCATCATCTTTGTTCTGGTCAAACGGTGTCTTTTACTATTAGGATAATCAGCATCTACAACTTTAAACATTTCACAAAACAAACAAGAATTGCTAATAGGGAGAATGCTATTGGTATATATAATTACTTCATACTATTTTAGAGTCCTTCTATTATGTTCTAAGATATTGATGTTTTGAGCTACAAACTGAAGTTGTACTATAAAACTTTTACTAGTGTAATATTTTCTCTTTAATATTTAGTAGGAAATTGTTTGTATTTTCTTTTGTAGGTACATGACAAGGTCTCCTCATTTTGATTTTTGAGAGTAAAGACTAAAACGGAAGTTGTCACCTCTCACCAGTAATACTACTACCTGATGGCGTTAATGAAGTTAATTAGGAAAAGAGCAAGAAGATCCTTACACTAATTAATTGCCGCCGAGGGAAAAAAAAAAAGTGGAAATGTCAACCTGTTAATGACTTTGTATGATAAGGTGTTGATTAATTCCACTAAAGCCGCTAGCAGCTAGCCGGAGAAAGTTCCACGTACGCTGGTCAACACCTATTGGTCAGACAAAAAGCCTCCAATCATTACTTTTCTTAATGCCCTCCCATGCACTTTTGACGAACATATAAATACTCCACACTTCTCCTCAATCAATATTCAATCATCATTCACTTCTTTCATTTCCTTCTCCAAGTATACAGATTCTTTCAACCCTCTTCTGCTTTTTGCACTCTAATTTCTTCTTTCAACCTTCGATGGTCACAATGGCGTCTCGTTTAACTACCGGCCACCACGAGCTGCCTATTGCTTCCATGCTCCTCTCGGCCCTCCTTCTCTTCACTTCCACGTCAGAAGCCCAGCTTTCGAGCAACTTCTACGACTCAACCTGCCCCACCGCCCTCACCACCATCCGCGCCGGCATCGAGGCCGCCGTCCAAACCGAGCAGCGGATGGCCGCCTCCTTGATCCGGCTCCACTTCCACGACTGCTTCGTCCAGGGCTGCGATGCCTCCATCCTCCTCGACGACACTTCCTCCATCACCAGCGAAAAAACCGCCCGCCCCAACGCCAACTCCGTCCGCGGCTACGAAGTCATCGACGACGTCAAGTCCCAGCTCGAATCCCAATGCCCCGGCATCGTCTCGTGCGCTGACATCGTTGCTGTTGCGGCCCGCGACGCGTCCGAAGCAGTAAATGGTCCCACGTGGACGGTCAACCTGGGAAGGAGGGATTCGACCGATGCCTAGGGCTGGCAACCGGTCGGTTTCGGTTTAACCGAAAACCGAAAACCCGGTTATCGGTTAAACCGAACCACCCCTAGAGCTACCGACCACCGACCGTGAGAGTGACACGGTTAACCGGCCAACCGACCGATCGGTTTCGATTTAATGCTCGGTTAGCCGGCCAACCGAGAAATTTCCACTGCAAAAAAAAAAAAAAAAAAAAAAATTAAGAGAAACAAAAAATCTGGACCACTTACTCACTTCTCGATTCTTCTTCTTCCTTTCTTCTCCTTTCTTCTCGATTCCTCTTCTTCCTTTCCAGAGAGAAACCCTTCTCCCCAAATTCTACTGCCCAGATCCCAAGTCCCCACCCCACTCCCCAATTTCCACTCCCAATCAAATTTCCACAACCCACAAAAACCCATCCCTAGAACCCTCCCTTTCGCCTCCAGTTCCATCTCCTTATCCACATCCCATCAACAATCTTCCCACCACCGAACCGCCCTCACCACCCCCGCCAAGCTCAAATCCCTAATCAGTTCGAGCGAGCCCTAATCGGAGTCGGTGGGGGCGGACTCGCCGGCGCCTTCACCTACTTCTGCCGCCTCCCTCTCGACGGCGTTAAGACCAAGCTCCAGACCAAGGGAGCCTCCCAGATCTACGCCGGAACCCTCGACGTCGTCGTCAAGACCTTCCACGAGAAGGGCATCCTAGGGTTCTACCGCGGCGCCTCCGCCTTAATCGTTGGATCCGCTGCCTCCTCCGCGGTCTACTTCGGCACATGTGAGTTCGGCAAATCGAAACCCAGTACGAAGACCTGATGCCGGTTATGGCGGAGAAGCTCGACGTGGAGGGTTTCGTAAAGGAGCTCTGCGGAGAAGCCATGGTGAGAGAAGGAGATCTGAACGGCGGCGGCGACGGATGTAGATCTGCTTCTTCTTCTTCCCTATTTGGGTTTTCTTTTACTTAAGATTTGGGAATGGAATGAATCTGGACATATTTTGGGGAAGGTGAAGGTGGGTCTCGGTTGGCCCGGTTAGTCGGATAACCGCGGTTAATTATCGTCGGTTACTCGGTCAACCGACCACTTCCTTTTCCCATCCGACCACCGACCGTCAAAGTAACCGGTCGGTTTTCGGTTAGGTGGTAACCGGCGGTTTTCGGTTAAAACCGGCGGTTACCCGCTAACCGCAAACCGAAATGCCAGCCCTACCGATGCCAGCAGGGCTGGTGCAGAATCCGACCTCCCCGGGTTCAACGACCCGCTCGACAGGCTGGTCGAGCGGTTCGACGCAAAGGGGCTGAGCGCTAGGGACATGGTGGCTCTCTCCGGGTCCCACACCATCGGGCAGGCAAGGTGTGCCACGTTCCGCGGCAGGATTTACGGAAACGGTTCCGATATTGACGCCGACTTTGCCGCGACGAGGAGAGGGCAGTGCCCCTCGGTTGCCGGGGATGGAAACAATAATCTGGCGCCGTTGGATTTGGTGACGCCCAACTCATTTGACAATAATTATTTCAGGAATCTGATGGAGAGGAGAGGGCTGCTTCAGTCTGACCAGGTGTTGTTCAGCGGTGGGTCAACGGACAGTATTGTGGATGAGTACAGTAGGGATGCCAGCGCTTTCAATTCTGATTTTGCCGCCGCCATGGTCAGGATGGGCGATATAGAGCCGTTGACGGGTTCTCGGGGAGAAGTCCGGCGGGTTTGCACCGCCGTCAACGCCGCAGCTTGATGGGTAGTACTTCATGATCAGCATAGAGTGTTCCCAAGTGTGGATGAGTGGATCACTTATGTTGAGACTATTCGTTAATTCGTTCTTCTCGTACATGTGGTGTGACTAGTCATGTGATTACATTTGTTCACTGTATTTTCAGTTTTGCCTTGCATCTTTTGCTTTTGCTTACTGGTATGAAGTTGATGTAATTTCAATTTATCGAGAGTGTGCAGCAGTACAGCTTCTAATTAATGAATGTGAATTGAAACGTAAATTCTATTTCCAACAATTCTTCACTACATTTTTTCTCTCTTTGAGGGGATGAATTTGTTAAGTTAAGGGGATTTCAATGCTACTCTTAATGCAAATGAAAAAGATGGTGGGAATCCGTTGAACGCTTCTCAATCCTTGGATCTCCGGAATCTTATTCAAAATTTAGGGATGCATGACCCTGGTTCCAGGGTGATCCGTTCACCTGGACTAATAAATGAATGGAGTTGGCCTGTAGTCGTGCAAGGCTTGACAGGGCCCTTTGTTCCCAAAGTTGGATTGATCGTTTTCTGGAGACTCTCGTCAAACATTTCTCTGATCAGGGCTCTGATCACCGGGCTTTACTGCTTTCTGACAATCCCTATGTCCGAATGTGTCGCCCTTTATTTTGTTTTGATGCTCGATGGGTAGATAATCCGGAAGTCAAGGCGATGGTGGCATATGTTTGGCAAGAAAACATCTCTGGTACACCTATGTTCCAACTATGGGAAAGGCTGAAGAAACTGCGTCATTTGCTGTACGATTGGAGCAGAGCAGGTACTACGAACTCTCTGTGCAATATTCATACCTTGCGAAATGAGATTGAGCGTATTAAATCCGTCCACCCTATTGATTGGCAAATGGTGAGCCATCTTGAAACAGAGCTGAATAGACAATGGGAGGCGGAGGAAGTATACTGGCAACAAAAATCTCATGTACGATGGTTGAAGAAAGGCGATAAGAATTCGTCTTATTTTCACACTGTCACACAAGCTCGGCATAAACAGAATTTTGTAGCTGGTCTATATAACTAGGATGGGGATTGGATCACTGAGGAGAAAGGGAAAGCAGATATTGCCACCAACTTTTATCAAACCCTTTTCACCTCAGAATCCCAGGTGACGAATATGTCGGCAAGGGTGGCAGACCTTCCCATTGAACACTGTGTTACCCTGGAAATGAATGCGAATTTAACAGCTGCTGTTCTCACTTCTGAAATCCAGAAAACCGGTTTCTCCATGGGATCTAAACAGGCGCCAGGATCGGATGGATTTACGGGCAAATTCTTTAAAACTTTCTGGGGGATCGTGGGGGATTCGGTGATGAAGCCGGTGGTCTCTTTCTTTGAGACTAGCCGAATGTTACGAAGCTTCAACAACACTTGGTTGACTTTGATTCCTAAGGTGGATCAGGTGTAGACAATACGTCAGCTCCGGCCTATTAGCCTTTGCCAGTTGTGTACAAGATAGTCACTAAAATTATGGCAGAAAGGCTTGCTGATATTCTACCCCAAATCATCTCTGAGGGGTATAATGCGTTTATCCGGGAAAGGCAGATTGTGGACAACATCCTCTTGGGACACGAGTTAATGCATTATTTAAAAATCAAGAGCCGGGGAAAGAAGGGATACATGGCTCTGAAGGTTGACATGGAAAAGGCCTATGATGGAGTCGAATGGTCATTCCTTCTTGCGGCTTGAAGAAAATGGGTTTTAACTCTGTCTGGAGGGGATGGATACAGGAGTGTCTCCAATCCACCTCTTTTTCAGTTCTAATGAATGGCACCCCGGCTGGTTTCTTCTCCCTATCCATGAGGCTTCGGCAGGGAGACCCTCTTTCTCCCCTGCTTTTTGTAATGTGCACGGAGGGATTCGCTGCTTTGCTTCAGAAAGCCATCTCATTGGGGAAGTTACAAAGTGTTAAAGTGGCTCCTCGTGCGCCTCGTATCTCTCTTTTATTCTTTGCAGATGATTCTTATCTATTCTTTAGAGGATCCCTCCAGGAATGTGAGAATTTGATAGAGGTGCTCAATGATTACGAGGAGCTTAGTGGCCAGCGGGTGAATCTGGATAAATCAGCAGTATGCTTTAGCAAAAATATTGCTTTGGCTGATCAAGAGTTCTTGGCAGCCATCCTTGGGGCCGGGGCAGTGGGCGTCCAAGATAAACATCTAGGCCTCCCGACTTTGGTTGCCCGCTCTAAGATGGCTACGTTTCGTTATCTTGACGAGAAGCTATTGGCTAGACTCCAGGGTTGGAAACGTAGAACTTTGTCTTGGGCGGCGAAAGAAACTCTGATAAAATCTGTGGCCTTAGCTTTACCGTTGCATGTCATGTCTTGATTCAGGCTGCCCCTTTCCCTCTGTCGCCTTTTAGACAAACATTTGGCACGGTTTTGGTGGGGGTTTAAGAGGGGAAATCAAAGATTCGTTGGGTGTCCTGGCGAAATATGTGCAAAAGCAAACATGAGGGGGGTATAGGGTTTCGCCGTTTTGAGCATTTCAATCAGGCTATATTAGCTAAGATTGGCTGGCGTATCCTCCAGGAACCCCAGTCCCTCATTGCCCAGGATTACAAAGGAAAATACTTTCCTAATGGATCTTTCCTCACGGCAACGGCGAGGTCCCGTCCTTCCTGGGGGTGGCAAAGTATCCTCTTCGGTCGCCAGTTGCTGGAAACAGGGTTACGTTGGCAAATTGGTAATGGGCAGGAAGCCCCTCTTCTCACTTCCAGCTGGATCCCTCAGCAGCATCCTCTCCCTCCTATTTACAATCCTTGTGTTATTCCTGAAGGGGAGAAGCTGACTGTGGCAGAGCTTATTCAGCTTGGGGAGGGATGTTGGAGTGATCATAAGCTCAATTGATGGTTTCACCCGCAAACCGGCCAAGCGATTAAGTCCATCCCATTACCTCGCCAGAATGTTGAGGATAAGCTGATATGGCATGCGACTTCCGATGGAGTTTTCACGATTAAATCTGCATACTACATTGCGGTTAATATAGATCGCCAGAGTGGTCGGTGGAGGACTCAAGCTAGCTGGATGGATAAGGTATGTTGGATCCATTTATGGGAGGCTGATATTCGCCCGAAACTTAGGGTATTTGTCTGGAAAATCTTCCATCGAATATTTCCAACTACGGAGGCCCTGATTGAAAAGAAGGTGGATGTACTTCCTCGATGCCCAGTGTGTTGGGAAGCTTCGGAGACTCTGGAACATCTGTTTCTGGATTGTCCGGTTGCTCATGCTCTTTGGGATCACTCTGGGATTTCCTACCTGGGCGAGGGATTGCCTCGGCACACTTTCCCACTCTTTCTAAAGAAATTGTTGGTCTTGATACACCAACCAGCGTTACTCAGGTCGGTAGTTGCTGTATTATGGCGGATTTGGCGATCTCGTAATTGGGTTGTCTTTGAAGGCAAACAGTTTGGGATCCCGGCCTTAATAGGACAGTTCAATCAGTAGGTGCAGGAGTGGATTGACCTTCCGGTGGGTCGGACTCTCCAGCTCCCTCGTCCCCAGGCTTCTCCCTTGGATCCCGGTGGGTCAAATGTAGTGATTTGTATGTGGGATGGGGCTGTGATGGCGGGTTCCCATTCAGCAGGTGGTATGGTGATCATGAATCCGGACAGAGCAATCCTCTTAGTCAAGGGGATTCAATTTCCGTTGATTGACGACCCAATGATGACTGAGGTGCTTGCTCTTCGGGAGGCTATCGTATGGTGTTTGGCTAGTGGTTTTACGGACGTATGATTTGAAGGTGATGCCCAGGTGATCATTAAGAAGATTCTTCGATGGGATGTTCGGGATAGTCGTGTAGGGGCGATTTTGGAGGAGGTGGTCCAGTTTTTTGTTGGGAACATGGGATTTACTATACGGTTTTTAGGTCGGCGTAACAATAGGGTAGCTCATTTGGTAGCTAGAAAAGACCTGTCTTTGTATTCGGCTACAAGTCGTTCGTTTGATTATCAAGCCTGGCTGAACTCCAGGATGTAACGTAACTATCTTTTGGTTCAATCAATATATGATTATCTTTTGTAAAAAAAAAATCCTTGCTAAACTAAAACGAAGAAAGAAATCAGAACTTCATTAGGCCTCGTGAAGTCGAGACAGGGAATTAGCAATGAAGTAACCAAGCAAATCAAAAATAGTTGCACATTAAATTAAGTTGATTTTACTATTGAATTGGTCAAACGGGATGCAACGAACGAAGATTTTCTAAGTTTTTTAGCTTGTCTTTATTAGGAGGAGTAGTCTTCATTCATGTTCTATCAAGGAGGGGATAAGCCTTTTCTCGTTGTAAAATAACAGCAACGCGGAAGCAAAATAACACGATCGATTTACGTGGTATCCCCGTTCAGTGTGAACGAGACTAATCCACGGAGAAGCTCCTCAAGAGCTTCTCGGCTGAACTTTTATTATCAACTTCACAACTCAACCAACAACAACAACCCCGAACAGTAGCATGCATAAAGCTATATATATAGCTACCCTAACCCGAACAACTAATGAACTAGGGTTAGGCTTCTCCACATGGTAAAGTGCAATTTACTACCACTAACTGCTAACTAGTGACAATTAAGGACAACGTTTAATGACTCGCAACACTCCCCCTCAAGCGGAGGCGTGAATGTCATGCAAGCCAAGCTTGGAAGCGAGATACGTGAACTGTTCACTGCCCAAACCTTTCGTGAACAGATCAGCTACTTGGTCACTAGTTGCAATCTTTTGCGGACTAACTTCTGACGACGCCACGCGCTCTCTCACGAAATGACAATCCATCTCAACATGTTTTGTGCGTTCATGGAAAACCGGATTCGCCGCAATGTGTAATGCTGCTTGATTATCACAGTACAACGTAGTAGGTCCATCCTGACGCACGCCTAACTCCTGCAACAGCCAACGCAACCATATCAATTCACTTACCGTGACCGCCATCGATCTGTATTCGGCCTCGGCTGAAGACCGAGCCACCACCGACTGCTTTTTAGT